AGGCTGACAAAGAAAGGTTTCCAGGGATGCTTCCAGGCTTGGCAGCGGCGCTGGGATCGTTGTGTTCACTCCCAGGGGAACTACTTCGAGGGTGATGGATGAATTTAATACCTGAGATAAGTGTACGGGTTTTTATAGGCGCAGTCTTGAAACTTTCCGATCGCACCTCGTAGGAAGGAAGATGGAAAGAGAAACCCGAGTATAGTCGGCGAAGTAGTTTTTGGCCGGTGGAGAAGCTGGCGGACGGGCCTAGTCCGTGTCCCTGAGGTGGCACGGTCGGCGTATTTCTTTTGTTTGGACGTTCAGTCCAATAAGATCCTCGGTGCCGCACAAGAGACTCGCTCTTAGCCTTCCCCTTGAAAATTCCACTATTGCGCCGACTATAGAGATGTTCAGGTCTCGTCATGAAAACGGGGATCACCCACGGAGGTGTACGACCGCTCATCGAAAGTTGACGCCTACCTGTTGTCCAGAAAAATTGAAGTTTTCCTATCAGACGTACGGAAGTTAGAGAATCACGATGTTTCGAGAACGCTAACACGTAAAAATCTGTTTTACTTCGCTGCAAAGAAGTACATTGTTTGAATTCTGTGATGCTGATAATACAGTTAGATTTAAATATGTGAAGTTAGTGCTTAAAGCGGAATGTTATTAGTTTAAATGATTTACGTATCAGAATAGGTACACATTTAGTGTTTTCCACTTATATACTGTTCAGTAAAATCTTGCCAAAGAGCCATAATCTGAAATGGGCATTCGATATGCACGTATTACGACGGATTCAGTCCACGTCTCCAAGAAGATACTAGGATACGTAATAATACATGTGGCCAAACTCTTCGTAAGAGCCTTCTGTTAATTAGAAACACGCTGAACAGTAAAATGTGTATTAGGATCAAATGTCCTACTTCATCTTCAAAGTATAAAGAATGTACACTTACGTTTAAGTTTTAATCTGTCAATTAAGAAAGTCTTTACTAATGTGGCATAAGATTAATTTATCGACGTAATTTGTAATGGTTTATAAACCGGTTCTCTCCATAATATTTTCTAATTGGCGAGCCAGTACTTATAAGCAAATGTTCTGGAACAGAAATTATATTACTGTCCAAATATGCATGATTTACATCGTCACAGGGATTTCCAACCTTTCAAGACCTAGGGGCCACACCCAACCGTTTTTATCAACTCGCTCGCTGATAGCTCAATTACAAATGAGGACTAGGTCAGGTGTCTTAATATTGTGCATTAGTACGAACAAAAATTCTGCATTTATAATTTTAAATACTTTGTTTACACGATAAAGGAGAATACTAATAAACGTATAAACAAGTGCCTCCAGGTAAATCTTTTGCGCAATTTCATGTTCTAGTATCAAGGAATACTAACTCACCACTCGATTCCAGTTTTTTTTGTAACAAAAAACTTCCATTTTAATAATAATACCCTCTTTCTAAAGATCTGCTGTGAAACTGACGAATATCGCCCTGATGATGGAGGCAGTATGACCTCTTAAGGCCTCCGCCACCACTGAAAAAATCCTATAAAATATACACCCAACCGCAAATTATAAAAAGAAATATTTAAATGTTAATTATGATAATATTTTAATATTTAATAGGAATTTTATTGTGATTATACTGACAAGATTTAAACAAATAAATAAACAAATATAAAAAGTATATATTATTATTATCGGCTCCTTGCATTAACTGCGTGAAATCAACGCACGTTTAACTTCTGGTGTTACTGAACGTGTTTCGATTAAATGTCGTTCTTACCATAAGAAACTAATGACATGCCAACTCAAAGCAACAACAACAAATTTCCCTAATAATTAAGTAGCGGAACTTCCACATTTACTAGTAGAATATCAGAAATTATGGATGAATCCTTCTGAACCCTAATTTGCACCATGGTAGTTACTTGTAGCAATTTTGTTTCTGAGTACGTCTTTGTCAGCACAGAGTCGAAAGACTTTACAAAGAGGCGAGGCTTGACTGTAATATTTGGACATTGAACACCCACCCAGTTCTTTCCTGCTTACTGAAAATATTCACTCATGTACACGGAGGAAAATATACGATGTGTATCTTCAAGATGCCGTTGTTCCTAACCATTATACACACTGATCCAAAAACATATCACCATCAAACAGACGGGAAATAAGTACCCTTCTCTTTCAATTCCCATTTCATCGTTAAAATAATTGTCCTCAAATAACTTTAAAATTTGTTGTAAGACGGATTAATAAACCTGATTCTTTTGTACGTCTTAATTATCCCATTACAGATGCCAAGAAAACAAACAGACTATTGGGGGCAGAGTGTATGTAGTGCAGTCTCTCGTCGTGTAATTCCCTCCGTTATCCTTTTCAAAAGTCACTACTACTTTTTTTAACACCCTGTAGTTTCTGTACCAGTGATTCACAAAACCCTTCTTTCCTGCTGGTGGACTTGAAGGGTGGAAACGATGAATGGTTTTCACAGCGACGCTGCAGGAGAGACACTTCACCTGTATGCATTGTTCTTTCGACAAAATGGCGTCTTCCTCTTGGACTAAATTCACTCATTGTGAACTTCGAGAAAGAATGTTCATTTCATCGCTAAGTTTCTCAGCCATGTTCCAAAGTCGATCACATTTCTAGGGAACTGTCAAGATTGGTTGGTTCTTTGGTTGTTTAACGACTCTGTATCAACTGTAATATTATTTATCGTTGAGACGGATGAGGGGGATTGTAGCTTGGAAGGGATAGGGGGAGGAACTGATAGGGCCTTGTTTCAACGAACTGTAGTGGCATTGTCCGGGAAGGGCCTAGGACAATCATAAAACGACTCAGGATATCCGGTCTCCCGCAGAGAATTGGATTCAGTTTTTCTCATATTCGAAAGACGAACTCTAACCACCACTTAACGATGTTAAGTAAAAAAATTCCCCGGCGAGGTCTAGTTTATAATGATGAAATATCTGGTAATACACGGACGGCCGCCATAATGTTTTACACATACAACAGTGTAAGTGAAAAGATTATGGTATAGTATAGTCGGAAGTTTTGGGTCATTTATAGTCGATTGCTGCTTTGTGTTTTAAAGTTTCCCCCTCCACTCAACTTGGCAAGAACTGGGTCGAGTCTATGCCGTTCCACGTCATTTACAAACAAACTGAAGTCGAAACGAGCGATTCGAATGATTGCACGAAGTTATCACGTGACTACAGATGTGACGTGAATATTTAATACTTATCAGCTGATCAGTAGACTAGTTACCATCCGTTTGGTTCATGACAAGATTCATTTCACAAATCTTAACTCATACTTAATGGGTGACAGAAAACATTCCGCTCAAACACGAATCCTAATTTGCAAGAGAGCATGTCCTGTTAATATTCCATTGAAGAATGTGTGACATATAAAACTTGCAAAACTTAAAAATTACACTTTCCGATGAGAGTTGTGTGAATCTGCATGCAAATAATAATGATAACGAATTAAGTTTATAATTGTAATCATCATGATGCTTAACGCAGAACAAAGAATTTGGAATGCCCTACGAAACATTTTGTAATATCCCCACTGAAGCCTCGATTTGATCTGAGATTTTTGAGCACGTTCTCGTGTTGTCCTGCACCACTCAGAGTTAAAATAAACCCTAAATAATTTCGAATGACCAAAATAATGCAGTGACGCCAATACAAAGACGACCTTGACAGTCAGCTGTTTTGTGTTCGCATACAAAACAATGCCCAGCTGATTTTTGTTTACGTAATTAAGTATCTTCTCACAATAAAACTCATGGAAATCGAATGTAATTTATATGTGTTCAAAGAAGTGGCTGATTAATTATTGTACTTACAGTGAAAACAGAGCAGTAGCAAATGTCCGCTGTAAGGTGTTTATAGCTGAAATCTGACTTCACGACAGCTTGCCCCTCGCAGCCAGTTGCGAAGATGGCAGCCAGCTGCTGATTGTAGTCTGTTGGGTTTTAAAGACTTAGTGTCGCTATTGGACAATATTCCACCAATTGCAAACTTGTATGAAGGTTCCGTACTACAGCGCTTGGAAACAGATGTGTCAATAAAGTACTTAACCTTGCAAGTATGCAACGTGTTAAAAGTTTGGTATTTTATTGTGGAATTGTTCATTTTATTTACTGAATTTTGTACGTAGTATTGTATTATATTTGCGTATGTCCTCTACCTACTAATTTAACTGTAATCGTACAGCATAAGCCATTTTTACTTTTATAATTTGTTTTGTATGACGTACGCTGTAGAAGGTATTCAGAGTAGGTTATTTTGAAAGATGAAACAACGTGTTGAAAGTTTGAGTAATCTCATTCATAAATATTTGTTTTAAAATTACTTTCCACTAATTTTTTTTTTTTCCAGTTTAACAAGACTCTTCTTTACATATTTTTGGTGTAGGTTAACATTTAAGAAAGTGTAAAGAACTTGCTTGAATTGATTACATTTTAACATTGCCTCATCGTTTTAAGATTAATTGAAAATGTGTGGCCCACGACTTATGAGTAAAAAGGCAATACTAGGCTGGTGCACAGACATTGATTTTGTTTTTGTAATTGTGTGTGTGATAAACAAAACTGTGCAGTAACATATTTTAGTTAAAATATAAAGCAGTGTGTTATTCTACACATCATAATATTTACACATGTAAATATTATTAGGTTATAAGGAAAAGGACAGTTTGTCATATAGTGATGTTTAATGCTATTTTTACTGTTTGTAATATGGGCAGGTAGCACCATATCCTGTGCTTTTACCTAAGTTCCTTTAGTATCCTCTAGTTCTATATGTCATTACAGTAGTACTTGTTGGTACTGAAGTTGTTACCACATCTGTTCTTTCTTGGAAGGTTTCTTACACCATCCCCAGTGCATTATCCAAATTAGCTGTAAATTTTTAATAGAAATGGAACTTGCCAATTTTATCAAATGTGAAACATATTTCATAAGAAAGATAGAGATGCTTATTTGGAATTTATTCCAATAATTTTTATATATGATAGTGGTCTCACTGGTCTCTATTTCTATAGTTACAGTTATTGAGAATTTTTTTTGCAGATGTTAGCTCCATAACCGTTTTATCCACTATCCCAGTTAATTAAATATTAATTTTCATCGTAATGTTAAAAACATAACCTCAAAAGTTGCTAAAATTCTATTTTGTTGTCCAAGAATAAATGCATCTCAAGTTAAATATCATTCTTTATAAATATAGTATCTTCACTCCCCACCACTTTTAAGGTCATCACTGTAGACTGCAGTTAATACAGGATTGCTAAATAAGACACAACTTTGGAGTAAGGGAAGGAAGAGGCTGTGAATATATTAAATTAAATTGTAAGTTAGAACAGGTCATATATTGTAAAGTAACATAATTTTAGTGTTTTACTTTTTGTAAAGGGTTTTGGAGTATACATTCTGTCTGTAATGAATTTCTCAATTTTACAGGCTATGTCCAAAGTAGTAGGAAATTCATGTTTGACCACATTTATGAGAAGATTTCCCAGAGTGAAGTATTTGCACACAGATATAAAATACCTTACTAGACAGTCACCAAGAAACTACTCTTTGCATGTGAAGTGTGGCTCATTGGTATTTGCCACAGTAGGAGCGGCAGTGTACTACAGTCAGTTGACGAACCATGAAAAACGAATGCTCAGAGTGTCTCTGGGTGGCATTGGCCGCTTTTTAAGGTTTGTTCCCCTCTTTTTACCAATATCCTGATTTGTAGTAGCTGGAAAACTCTTGCACAGTCAAATTTGAGATTTTCACAGTGGGGATTATGAATGTGGTTGTATAAGTTTGCCAACTTGCTTGCTGACTCCGTCATCGGGGCGATGTTGATGGAGGCAGCAAGCGCGTCAGAAACATCGGTAAACTTCCGTCAGACTATACATTGCTACAACCCAGAAGACATCCATCTTTTTCTTGCAAAGACATTCAGTTGCTTTACTGAAATCGAATTGATTATGAATTATTGAGTTAGTGAAAACAGGGGCATAATTCCAGTTGCAATTGGAAAACTTTTGTCACCATATATTGTTGTAAATGTTCATCATTGCTAAAATAATTGTCTGACTTATATTAGATCTTGTTTGTTTGTTCTCAGAATAATAGTTTTTTTCATAAAAAATATGTTGGAGACATTAAAAAAAATGTTCACCTTTCACAACTGATGTTGTGCCAGAGACCTCTTCGCTTAGCAGTAACGTGTTGACCTCATCTTTTGGTAGTCACCAACACCATTGTCTATCAGGGATCAACTGCCCTGACGGACGTTCATACTTTTCCATTAAAATATGTTTCTGTATGTTTTGGTGTAAGTCCCGCGCGGTCTGAGGCGTCGTGCTTCGGACCGGCGATACGGAATGCGCGCTGGTTCGAGTCTCGGGGGAGAAGAATTTTTCTCGTGAGCTTTCAACCAGTGTATGGGACCGGTGCCAACCCAGCATCGTGAGAAAATTGGGGAGCTACAATGAGTAGCGTAATCCGGTCAGGAAAGCTAGCAATGGCTGGGGGTTCGTCGTGCTGACCACACGTCGCCTGTATCTGGTTGGATGATCGTTCACCTCTGCTTTGGCATGTGAACGTGAGGCCAGCAGTCAAGCTAGATGGCTTTGGCTCTCTGGAGCTGTTACGCCATGGATTTAATTTTTAATGTTTTGGTGTAAAGGTATTTGGCAGATCCATGGTTTGCATCCCAGCTCAGAAATAGGCTATTATATTCTATGCCTTGGCTTTCCTCAGACCCCCTGTCATGATGTGTTATCCCAAATGACGATTCGTAATTAAGTATTTTCTCATTTGTTGCTGTTGACATTGTATCATGAAAGAAACCAAGAAAGAAGTGAATGTATTACGAAGGTGAGTAACCACATACCGGTTTTATCGTCGACCACAAAATTTTATCATAGTTGCTCAGTAATTGTGGTTGTGCTCTGTACATACCAGGTCTTTGAAGACAGGGCTGACAATATCACTGGATTACTGGTGGTCTCTTTTGGGTTTGGAGGAGGGAACAGAAGAGTATAAGGAAGTTCTTCATCCATTACACCAACGAGCTGCTGACAGGTTATTAGATGGCTGTCTGAGGAATGGAGGTTTATACATAAAACTTGGACAAGGATTTTCCAGCCTCAATCATGTTTTACCAAAAGAGTATTTGGATACATTAAAAGTAAGAGTTGGAATTTAGTGTGTGGCTCGAGTTAGGTTAACCTATTCATGCAGCTGTTAAGTAATAATAATGTTGTCAACATACTGACATTTTGCAAAGAGAAACAGAGATACATTTCATGTTCACTACTGTTATGACTGATATTAATTTTGATTTCTTGCATAATTTCAAGTAATTATGCATTTATGATTAGAAATCATGAATTACTACTTTGTCAATAATGGTAGTGGTTGTTTCATAATTTCAGCCATCCTAGTACAACTCAACTTCCTAATTGTTTGTTTGTGTTGGGCAAGGCCGTGGTCTAGGCAACACGGAGTTTCCTTCCGGGGGCTTCCCCGGTTTCTCCGTGGCATCCCAACAATTACTCCACTCACACACAGAAGAAGGCAATGGCAAACCACTTCTGATCATCTCTGCCAAGAATGTATATATGTATGAGCAGGTCCCTAACAACCTGAAGAGGTTGGAAGGATCCTGTTCATGATATATGGACCTGTCGTCAGACAGAACACTACAAATAAAAAAAAAACCACAGACCCATCTTAAACCTAACTAATTCAAGTTAAATAAGCAATGTCTTAATCAAACTTTACTCAACTGTAAAGCATGTATAAAGGAAATATTTAGAATAAAGCCAATATATAAACTTCCTTTCCGTATAGACGTATTTACGTCAAGTTCTCCGGAACCGTGGTTCCACTATCACTTTTTTTTTAACTTCGGTTTTAGAGTTAAAACTTGGCAGTATAGGCGCAAAAATCACTTAGATTAGAATGATCCTGAGCGTAGTCTTAATATTGAGAGTTAAAACTGAGCAGCCGGAAGTACGTGTATACAGAGGCATGCCGCGACACCTGTGAATGCAGTTTGACAACTACAATACTTAAATGCACTCACACTAACTGAACATGTATGGTATGCCAATGTACTTTCCAGACACTGCAAGATAAGTGTTTAACACGAGAAAAGAATGAACTGAAGGAGATATTTCTGGAGGATTTTGGTGTTCCGTATACAGAGATATTTGAAAGTTTTGATGAAGAACCCATTGCAGCTGCAAGCTTAGCACAGGTAATAAGAAGGTTGATTTTGTCAGTTTAATACATTCTTTCTGATGGCAATATGGAAATTAGACCCTTGCGTGAAGTACAAACGGAAAAGAAAGTTTGCATTATCATCTGTTTGACATAGAAGCCAACGGTACTCAGATTTGAGTCTGATCCTCGACGGAGGTATGACGATAACTTTCTTTGTGCCACATAGTCTTGTAGAAATTTACTGACATTTCAGTGCTTGCTGCCTGCATTATCAGGGTGATGAGTACGCCATGCATGGCTACATGAAACAACATCCCAGAAGACAAGTCATCTTCTGAAGATGACTTAAGAAGCCAACACTTTGTGGATCAGAAACTTTTAATTAGCTATGAGTACTGGAATTCTGAAGATGTCATATAACCACTGCAGTCAAGATTATATATAGATCGGAGCTTTAGTGCCTCAAACCTCCCCACCACCTTTCCTCATTGTGATAGTTATCTGTGGCAGTGTGAAAAATGTTAGTGGGAATATTTAGTTATTAGTTAGTAAAGAAAAATTTGTTACAGAGCGACTCAGCAGCTTAGGTTTTTTTATTATTATTATTTTTGTGATCTAGTGTGGCTTTTTTTTCCTGATTTATCTTTAAAAACATCCACCAAATTGAAATTCTAGATCTATTACTGTGTATAGTTGATACAGCATCCTTAAGAAGTCTTTGGACCAAGCACCTGCATATTAGTTTGAGCTGCAAAATGCCTGAGGTCAGCTGACTATCATCGTAGATTATCCTATGCAATGACTGAATTTTTGAAGTGTTCATTTATCAGATACAGCATGTAAGTAGATGTAACAAATGTTGTAATTTACAGGTGTACCATGCTAAAACAAAAGATGGAAAAGAAGTTGCTGTGAAGGTTCAATATATAGATCTCCAAAATCGATTTATTGGTGATGTTTCAACCATCAGGCTGTTATTAAAAATAGTTGGATTTATGCATCCAAAATTTGACTTTGAATGGGTTCTTGAGGTATGTGAATTCTGTGTAAATGTCTGAAGAGCATTTGTGTTCAAGTTCAAATCTTATTTGTACCACTACTTGTATGCATTTATTTTCCCCGATATATTCCGATATGTCACTCATTATTGTATCGTATTTAGGAGGCCCAGGGTTTTGAATTTTAGTCCAGAGACTTGCTGGCCTCACTTTGTGTTTTCATGGTTTTATTCAGTCTCCAACATGAAAAGTACTGGAATATTACCCTAAAATAGGCCTGGCTGCTTCCTACCATCTACCTGACTGATTGGCTGTGTGACCAACTGACTGATGAACTGGTGGACTCCGTGGCTCTGGGGCCCACCCAGCCTCCTCTACAATGGGTACCGGGGTCCTTTCCCGGGGGTAAAGCCGGCCGGGGCGTGATGCTGACCACTCACCCCCATCTAGTGCCGAGGTCAAGGAAGAGAGGAGCTATACCTCCACTCCCCCCAAGCGCCTACATGGCGTATAGTGGGACAAACTTTACTTTACTTTGTTCTTGAATACCATCGTCCTGTATTCTTCATGAGTTTCACTCAAAAGATTAAAATGTTTTAGCTGATTCTCATAATCTGACAAATGCAAATGTTCTTGGAAAACTCAGAGTGAAGAAAATATGTTTGCGCGTGTGTGTGTTGCAGGACTTACGAGGAACCCTGGAACAAGAACTTGATTTCATTAATGAAGGTAGAAATTCAGAACAATGTGCAAGAGATCTCTCCAAGTTCTCATTTATTTATGTGCCACAAGTCGTCTGGAATTTGAGTACCAAGGTATTATGTATTCCTTTCTACCTTTATGATACTCATTTAACCATAATTACTTCTTTAACCCTTTGAATCTGAAGCATGTTTAAACAATATTTAAGAATTCAGTCCATTTAACAAGGAAGACACAACATCCCTTTATAACAAAGATCAGTTTGTTATTGCTGTTTAGTGAAGTAACTTTGTTTATAATGAGAATTATGTAAAAATTATAAATAAAAAAATGCAAATGGATTCATATTCACTTCTGGTAGATGGCAGCACCAGTTCATGCCTCATAACACCAGTCCCATTTTCCAGTTGCCGCACTGTGTATAAATGCATCTGTGGCATTAAAACCTACAAGGTTTAATACTTTTTAATTTTAAAATGTAGCTCGTTAACAAGGGGTGATTTTAATTCTTAATTGTATAATTGCAGAGAATTCTAACAACAGAATTCATTCGTGGTTTCAAAGTCAGTGATGTGGAATCATTAAAAAGACAGGGCTTTTCATTAGCCGATATCGACAAGAAGCTGTTTCAGGCATTCTCTGAACAGATATTCCATACTGGATTTGTACATGCAGATCCACATCCTGGAAATGGTAAGAAAGTACAGAGAATTGTGTTTAAATTATTTAAAATGCATTTTAAGTATTAGTGTAGCTTCTACAGGTTACTGCATTTGAATTTCATAACTTTGTGTCAATTTATGGCAGAAAAAGTTTTTGCTCTCTCTTATATATATATATAATAATCCTGTAATGTTATAAAATTTGTACACTTTAGAGTAATATGTGAACCTCTTTATGACGTTAAGTTACAGCAGTAGCATTTGTAATAAGTACCCACGAAGTTTAATTAAACATTCTTCATTTATAACCTCATAGCCCATGAGACAATTAGAATGAATAAGAATAGAAGGTGGAGAACTGTTTCTGTGTTCTCTAAAGCTGGTAGTAATTCAACAGAACAAGGATTACCATTTGCATGGGGTTCAGCTTATCCAGAAGTTTCGTAATTTATTGACCCTGAAGGTACACATTATCTTGAAAACCTGCCATATTTAATTTTTCTCTGAGCTAGTGCAATATATTTCACATGTGCACTACCAGTTTCTTTATGATCCATCTAAATTATAGTCTTCGAATTATTTACTTCCCTTGCTGGAATTATGAACATTACAGAGCTTTTAAAAGTCTGGCCAACTGTCAAATTTGCCTCTCCTTCGAATCTCTTCTGCTTTTGCTTGCAAAACCAGTAACAGCTGAGATAAATATAAAATTGCAATCATACTAGCTGTTTTGTATAGTTCTAAAACATGGTCATTACTCTGGGGCACAAAGGAAGAAGTTAAACTGCAACTGAAGATTTCCATCTTCTGGGTTGTTGCGCTGTGTAGTCTGGTCGATGTTAACCAACGTTTCAGAGGTCATACTGCCTCCGTCATCAGGGCGATGAGTATGAAGATTTCTGTCTTCTGGGTTGTTGCGCCGTGTAGTATGGTAGATGTTTGCCAACGTTTCAGAGGTCATACTGCCTCCATCATCAGGGCGATGAATCACCCTGATGACGGAGGCAGTATGACCTCTGAAACGTTGGTAAACATCTACCAGACTACACAGCGCAACAACCCAGAAGACAGAAATCTTCATACTTACTGCTGTGAAAACCTCAAATCTTACATAAACTGCAACTGTTTGGACCATTGTCATACAGGAATTACGAATTTAAATCCCTATAATATCGGACTGCCATCTGGATTTCAGCTCTGGAATGAATGGCTTAGTGGTATGCTAATGCAATGCACAGGCAGGTAAATCATGCGTAAGCTACAACACGATGATAAAAGGTTCAAACAAATATCCAAGAAAAATATTTGGTTCTAACAGGTATGACGTAAGTAGGGAATTACATAATGAGGAACTTCATGGTTTACGTAGCTCACCTAATATGTTAAGGAGGTAAAATCAATGGCATTGTAGCTTAGCGGAGGAGACATATGCGCAGAGAATTTTGGTCGTGGCACATCTTAGAAAGTGGCCACTCGGAAAAGTTAAAAGGATTGTGAGAATATGAAGTCGGTGGAACTGGTGTGGGATTACGTCCAGTTCCAAGCTTAGGTATTATAACTGCAAACATCTGACTGCACGAGATTGAATTAGACAATATTGTGTCATGTTTTGAGCTGATATTGTCAACGTATCACAAATTTTACTTTTCTTTAGTTCTCGTTAGGAAAGGTCCAAGTGGTAAAGCACAGCTTGTTCTGTTGGATCACGGATTGTATGAGTGTCTTCCGTCCTCGGTACGCCAATCTCTCTGTCGACTGTGGAAAGCCATTGTTACAAACAATCATACTGACATGGAAACTTATGCACATGAACTCGGTGTAAAAGGTAATGTATCACACCATTCAGTGACAAATATATTATTGTGACTATAGCATTCATACAAGTTAGATCTTTTGCTGGGAAATAGAATGGATGGTACAAGGCATTAATTTTGTGTATAAAATAAATGCATAGTGTTGAAGTTGTATCTGTAGGTCCTCATGTTTCATAATCTTTGAATTTACATGACTAATTTTGATTAAATTTGATATGGAGGTGGGGGGGGGCTACTTTAAAAGTTGTCTCTTATGATCCAGTATAATGCTTGCTTCATATGAAGCTCAAATGAAACTGTATAAGTTTTTTTAATATTGCTCATTATAAGAATCAATTGGTGCATGAGATGAAATATGGATCTCATTAAGGTCTACAGCTCAGATTTTAAACATTTTTTCCATGAAGTGTGTTATTAACATAATATAAGGAAAAAATAAATTGTCTTCATGCACTTTAATATTTGTATTTTTAGCCTTATAAAATAACAGAATTTATCACTGTATGTAGTGCAGTGATTATAACTCTTCAAACAATAGATTTTAATATGGAATAAAGACTGATGATGTATGCACATCATTTGGAAAATATATTCAAGATTAGAGCACATATTTTTAGTATTGTTTGTTGTAGTTTTTAGAATTGTTATTTTTATTATATTGAATGATATGTTTCACATATCTGCAATATAATATGCATAAAATATTGTTGTGACAGACTTTCAGTCATCTTATTTCATATCACAAGATGTCTGCTGATGTGCCAATTATAAGAATTCTTTCATGAAGATCAGGCACGTATAAGGTGGATTCTGTTGCTTCCAGTAACAGGATAATGATGCGAACGATGATCAGTAGTGATGACTAGTTACTGAACTATTTTTAAACCAAATAATTTTTCATGATAAACTTTTGGTTCATATCACTTTGTAATTCTTCATACTTGTTTATCCTCGTGTACTTTCTTCAAATAAAATGTTTAGAACATAATGGCCATTGAATTTTGAAATTTACTTTACAAAAACATCATTATGGGATAATTTTCTTTAGATATAATAACTCGTTGTATGAATATGGAATATATACAGTGTTTCAGAGACTGGTGCTGTCTCCATCTTCATGTAGCAAGAAACAGTATCCACTGTCTGAGGCTTGTTAGGTAAAGCTAGCTTTTTGTGCTAGACATTGAAGGAAATCAGAAGCAAGTTCTGTATACAGGAAGCAACTGTAAACCTTAATTGGAAACAACAGCAAGAAAGTAACAACAAAATGTGATTTACCACAGGCAAGTACAAAGGCTAAGAAACCAGAAAGTAAGATACGAGGCGCGTCCTCAAAGTCAGTTTCCCTGGGGCCGTTTACAGAAACAAAACACAATTTCATGGAAATATTTATTGCAACAGATACAGCAAGTGTCCAGCTATTTTTCAACATATTCGCCACCGGAATTGAGACATTTGTCATACCGTGGGACCAACTTTGGAATCCCTGTGTCGTAGAAGTCTGCCGCCGGGGAT